TACAAAACAATAGTTACGAGTTTGGGTTACATAGTCATTCTGTCACATATCAGTTCCATTGATCATATTTGTGACATTAGGCAACTTATATAACTCTTCTGTGCCTCTGTTTTCTCTATTGCAAAATGGGTGTAGTAATAGTCCCTACAGCAGAGGATTGTTGAAAGGATTAATGTGTGACAAGTGTTTAGAATAGTGCCTGACACTTTGTAAGTGTTCAGTTAATACTATCTGCTATTAGTAGTAGTGGAAGCCTTTTCTTAAAATCAGCTGTTGGTTTTCCATTGCTTTTTGTTCTTTGTTGTGTTGATACCTGTTTTTAATTTTCTTTTTCTTGTTTCTTTGTGCTTACTCTCTCCTTAAGTTGAACACTAATATTTAAAGCTAGATTTTTGTAATGGATAATTATAACTTCTTTAGATGTGCCCTGCACTATCATTTTTCTGATGATTATGTCTGACTTATTAAGAGTCATGCTTATATTCATGCTTTTCTTCTGTGTCTTAAGCTTATCAGTATCAGCAGCATTCTCAACAAGTCAGGTACCCCAGCACATTTTTACCTCTTAAATAGTACCTCTTTTGTCAATCCTCTTCATATGCATATTCACCAAAGTTTTTATTCTGGATTTTTAGGGATATACTTTGTTGTCTTCACCCTCCTTGCTTCCATTGCTCACTTGTACAAAAAACATTGTATTAACTATTCTCCTTTATTTCTCATATCTCAGCTATCTCATAGAATTCCCTTGGGGTTTGGGGGTTTTTTGTTTGTTGTTATTGTTGAGACAGGCTCTCACTCTGTAGCTCAGGCTGGAGTGTAGTGGCTTAATCACAGCTCACTGCAGCCTCGACCTCCCAGACTCAAAGCAGTCCTCCCACTCCAGCCACCCCAGTAGCTGAGACTACAGGCACACACTACCATGCCCGGCTAATTTTTGTATTTTTTATAGAGATGGAGTTTTGCCATGTTGCTCAGGCTGGTTTTGAACCCTGGGCTCAAGCAATCCTTCTATCTCGGCCTCCCAAAGTGTTGGGATTACAGGTGTGAGCCACCGTGCCTGGCCTTCCCTTGGATTTATCTCCTTTCCTCCTTGCTGGGGTTTTTCAAAGAGAGACTTGATTTGGTTAAGTCTTACAAGTTTTTGTGGGCCTGCAGATCTCTCTCTCTCTCTCTCTCTTTTTTTTTTTTTTTTTGATAGAAACAATGTTTTCCTATGTTGCTTAAGTGGTCCTCCCACCTTGGCCTCCCAAAGTGCTGGGATTACAGGAGTGAGCCACCACACCCAACCCAGATACCTTTATCCTCATATTAAAACTGTATTTTTGTTCTGTGTACAATACTAGGTTAAAAGTTTGATTTCTTCTTTAGCTTAAAATTATCTCTTCATTGTCTTTTGGCTTCCAGTGTTGATATTTGAAAGTCATATGTTCATCTGATCTTGTTCATTTGTAAGTAGTTTGTTGTTTTTTGGTACACTTTGAGGCATTTCAGTCTGTTTTTCCCCCTTTAATTCTGAGAAATTCTTAGATAGTCTTATCTTTATTTTCTCCTTTATTTTTTTCCTGGAACTTCTATAGTACAGTTAGTGATATTTCTACTTCTTATTATCTATTAAATTTTCTTGTTTTCTATCTCTTAATTCCCACACACAAAAAATTCCATATTTGTAAATTACTCAGCCTGATTTTTTAGCTCACTGATGTGCTTTTCAGCTGTTACTGCTCAGGCAATCCACTGTGCCCGGCCCTACATGAGTTTTATAAGAACAAGTTGGACTTGAAATTATCTACGTTTAACAAGCTATTTCAGTTTTACATATATATAATTTATATGTAAATATATAAAATATATAATATATAATATATTATAAATAATTATATATTATATATTATATATAAAATATATATTTTTTTACAGAATAAAATATTTTTCTTCAGTAACTTGCTCACACTATACTAAAATGTAGATTTGTTTGTTTTGTTTATACTTTTTGTGAAAATTTTCAGACTTACATTATTCAATTAAATTTTGAGAGTAGGTCTGTGTCGCTGCCTTATACCAGGCCTGTTTTGGAAAGTGATCTTTCCAAGCAAGCTGTTGTCATTAAATAAGCCCCAGTTATCTGACTTTTGGGCAGTGGAAGAGGGAATCATTCTGTCAGCATTAAGGAAGTGAAGCTGTCATTAAACTAGACCCTGGCACTGCAGTTTTTCTCCTTTCTGCTTCTTTCCTTTGGTGTTCATCCCCAGAAGCTTCTTCACAGCCTTATATGTGTTCAACCAGCCAGGTTTATTTCAAAAGTTGTTTATTATAGTTTATAAAAGCTTTTCTGCTAGGTGCGATGGCTCACGCCTGTAATTCCAACAGTTTGGGCGGCCAAGGCAGGCAGATTATTTGAGGTCAGGAGTTCGAGACCAGCCTGGCCAGCATCATGAAACTCCATCTCTACTAAAAATACAAAAATTAGCTGGGCATGATGGTGTGTGCCTGTAATCCCAGCTACTGGGGAGGCTGAGGCGGGAGAACCACTTGAACGTGGGAGGCGGAGGTTGCAGTGAGCCAAGATCGCACCATTGCACTCCTGCCTAGGCGATAGAGTGAGACTTCGTCTCAAAAAACAATCAAAAAACAACAACAAAAGTTTTTCTGGCTAAGAGATAAATTATAAGATGATAGTCTAGATATGTACCATTTACTTACTAAGCTTTTAAAAAGGCTATTGTGGCTCAGCAGTCAATGGTATATGAGGTCATTGGGGTTGAGAAATAACCATAGACTGATACTAAACAAATAGCATTGATATTATACCTTGTACCTCATCATCTTTCTGCAGGTCATTTCCTCCTCTGGAACAGACCCTTTGAGTCCCTTCACTTCCATCTTCTTCAACAGGCACTTTATCCTCCTGACCAGGATAGTAAATTTGTAGCCAAAGTCTATAGTAAACGTCACTAATTTATCACATATCATTGGGCGGCTAAGCCCTGCATATGCCTTAGAATCATTCTCAGCACAACACTTCAGGAAGCCCTCAATTAAAGGTGGCAGATGACACCTAGTTGTTATTTCTGTCCTATTTCTTATTCCAACCAGAGTAAGCCATTAACTTATTCAGGCAGTGTTTTGAAGGCTAAAAAGGAATAAAGGTAGAAAGCAATTAAAGCATTTCCTAATATCCAAGATGTTTTTCTGCCCTTCCCTCACCTTTTATTATTCCCTTGCCTTTTATGTTATTATACCTACCCTTGTTTCTCTCTTCCTGTGCTTTTTTCTGCTGCTGCTTATAAACACATTTATGTTGAACTTCATAGGATATATTCGATTTTTAGTGAGTGAAAAGGGCATTTTTACCCCCAGTTATTCTCAACCATTTAGTCACTGTCTTCAGTTGTTTTCATCCCATTTTTGGTATTATAATGTACTTTTTTTTTTTTCCTATTCTTATATTTAGATTTTTTTTTTTTTTTTTGTGGAGAAAATTGGATGCCACCAAACCTGTAAGGTGTTGATTTTAAATGCCTTTTCCCTGGAACTGAGCAATGGCCTAATTCTGCTAAAAAGAGACAGGAGTTTGAAAAAGGACAAGATGGAAGGAAATACTGATAGAACAAACAAGTATTAATTAATTTTTTGTCCGTCAGTTAAAGTGTGATGATATGCCCATCACTCATTGTATGATAGACCTTCACTACACCAACATTTGATATTCACAACCAAGTCCTTCTGTGTAGGTATTGGCCTTGTTTACTTATGAAGAAAATGAGAGTCAAAGAGATAGTTTGCCCAAGGACATACAGCTGGTAAACGGTAAGTGGTAGAGTTAGGATTTTACCCCAGCTTGCTAACTTTAAACTTTGTACTCTTTCTCTTCCAAACATTTAGAAAAGTTTACCTTTAGTAGATTTTACCTTTTTTCCACAATAAACTTTATATTATAGCCTTTTTAGTTTGGGCAGTAATTACATACATACATGCATGCATGCATACTTAACATACACTTTAATGTTCTATAGGTTATTTGGACCACTGGCACTGTGACCAAAGTGATAGTATTCTGAGCGTGTTCTGAATCTGTGAGGGCCGTATAGCCCAATAACATAGTGTAGTGACAGCCTGGGGTCAAATCCTGGCTCCAGCACTGCCTCATCTTGTGCAAGTTTCCTTTCTCATGCCAACTTACACAGTTGTTTTGAGAATTAAACAAAGTAATACACATAGAGCATTTGGCACAATGTCTGACAAATAGTTTCATAAATGCTATTATTATGTATTCACTTTATGCTAAATCCCTAGCTTCTCCATGAGGTTCTGAGAAGTTTTGCTGAGTTACATAGAAACTACAGACTACACTAAAGATATGTCATACCTTCAGTGTTATTTGTAAAGAAATGGCAAATATTACCTTTATCATTTTTGACATTTTTGTTAAATGAGATAATAATCACTGCTATTTGAAACCTGTCATATAGTGTTTGAGTCTGTCTGCTGGTCAGGAATATTTGCCTCACCCCAGGATTTAAAGTACCTCTAGAAAGAAGCCAAAGGCCAGGCGCGGTGGCTCACGCCTATAATCCCAGCACTTTGGGAGGCCGAGATGGGTGGATCACCTGAGGTCAGGAGTTCAAGACCAGCCTGACCAACATGGAGAAACCCCCATCTCTACTAAAAATACAAAATTAACCAGGTGTAGTGGTGCATGCCTGTAATCCCAGCTACTCCAGAGGCTGAGGCAGGAGATTCTCTTGAACCGGGAGGCGGAGGTTGTGGTGAGCTGAGATCGTGCCATTGCACTCCAGCTTGGGCAACAAGAGCGAAACTCCATCTCAAAAAAAGAAAAGAAAGAAGCCAAAAATCTGTTCGGAATCATACCTAAAATAGTAATAGTCATTAACCACCAATAAAATTTACCCTTGTCTTTGTTTTAACTTTTTATTGTATGAGAATGTAGAATCTACATTCAGTTATTAAAACATTTACTATCTCCTTTTGTTTTTCAGAGCATGAATAATCTTTCATTTAGTGAACTATGTTGCCTCTTCTGCTGTCCACCTTGTCCAGGGAAAATTGCTTCAAAATTAGCATTTTTGCCACCTGATCCAACTTACACACTGATGTGTGATGAAAGCGGAAGCCGTTGGACTTTACATCTATCTGAACGAGCAGACTGGCAGTATTCTTCTAGAGAAAAAGATGCTATTGAGTGTTTCATGACTAGAACCAGTAAAGGCAACAGAATTGCCTGTATGTTTGTACGTTGCTCACCCAATGCGAAATACACTTTACTCTTCTCACATGGAAATGCTGTTGATCTTGGTCAAATGAGTAGCTTTTACATAGGACTAGGATCACGGATTAATTGTAATATATTCTCATATGATTATTCTGGATATGGTGCAAGTTCCGGGAAACCCACAGAGAAGAACCTCTATGCAGACATTGAAGCTGCTTGGCTTGCTCTTAGGACAAGGTAAATTGTAGTTGGAAATTATTTTTCATACTCGTGGTGGTTAGCTAAAAATACCATGTGTAAGAATAGAGTAAAAGCTGTTTTTATTATACATAACTGCTATATAGAGGTTATGTTTACTTTTATGTTCCTGTAATAATTAATATTTTAGACAGCAATTTTAAATTTCACATAATAGCAAAACAAAGTTTTTAAAGACAGTTTCAGGTTTGTCTACATTAATACATGTATATATGTATGATTTTTTTTTTTTTTCACTTAAATCCTTAGCTGGATGTCCATGGTGCATGCCTGTAGTCGTTGTTACTTAAGAGGCTAAGGCAGGGGAATCACTTGAGGCCAGGAGTTTGAGGCTGCAGTGAGCTATGATCGTGCCACTGCACTCCAGCCTCAGTGACAGAGTGAGACCTCGTCTCTTAAAAAGTTAAAAAAATAAATAAATCCAGTGACAAATGTTTCGCTTTGTAAGCTTTCTTATTGGAGTGTGATATAAAAAAATGTTTATTCAAAGCTGCAGCCTTTCAAGGCAATGAGAGAAAATACTGACTTAGCTAATTATTCACTTGATCTATCATCAACAGTATGAGGCTGGATTGCTTTCTATTAAAATCCTAAGCCAAGATTTGCATTATTTTATGTGATTACTTCTTGAGAGGTACAACTTAAAGATACCTTATTGGAACTATCTTTCAAGTATTCATTCTATAAAAAGGAGATTTTACTTTATATTCTTCACTGCTAAAATTGAGAGAGATGGTATCAAGTTTAAAAAAAATTTTTAGGCTGGGTGCGGTGGCTCACGCCTGTTGTCCCAGCACTTTGGGAAGCCAAGGCAGGCAAATCACAAGGTCAGGAATTTGAGACCAGCCTGGCCAACATGGTGAAACCCCATCTCTACTAAAAATACAAAAATGTCTGGGCGCAGTGGCTCATGCCTGTAATCCCAGCACTTTGGGAGGCCGAGGCAGGTGGATCACAAGGTCAGGAGTTCGAGACTAGCCTGGCCAAGATGGTGAAACCCCGTCTCTACTAAAAATACAAAAATTAGCTGGGTGCAGTGGCAGGTGCCTGTAATCCCAGCTATTTGGGAAGCTGAGGCAGGAGAATCTCTTGAACCTGGGAGGCGGAGGTTGCAGTGAGCCGAGATCACACCACTGCACTCCAGCCCAGGTGACAGAGTGAGACTCTGTTTCAAAAAAAAAAAAAAAATTTAATGTTATGATAAATTGTTTAATAAAATTTTCTTACTGTTCAGTTATTCTTTGATTATATAGCAGCATACATTTTGGGGAACTAGAAATTGCATTAATCTTTTCTAGTAGCCAAGATACCTAAACGTTTTTCTTGAAAAATCACAATTTGGTAGACTTCAATGTATTATTAGTCAGGTTAGTGTACAATAAACAGATAACCTTAATATAGGCTGTTCTTTATATTATATGAAAATAAAACATCTGACTTCCAGAATGTTTTTGACTGAACCTATAGGATATAAACAAAACTCACTCTTTCTAATTTAATGTTTAAATATTAAAGATTTGATTTAGTCAGGAAGAATTTCCTCAATTTTAATAATAATGAAGTAGTTAATAATATTAAAGATATATAAAAAATCTTTAAAATTATTTTTCCCTCCAAAGAAATGTAGTAAAGTTATGCTCTCATAGCAAAGTTCTACATAAAAGGGATTCTTGAAATCAATTGGAATTATATAAAAACATAAATATGGGGAATAAGGAAAAAAAGATGGCAAGTAGTAGGTAGAGTTGATGGGGGATGGTAAAATTATTGTCTAATTGATAAATTTAAAAACTGCTTTAAATAAAAATCTTTTTAGGTATATTGATATGGGTTACATCAGGCCTTAAAACAAACAAAACCTGAGTGCCCACTTTTTAGAGCCAGCCAGTTGAATAACGTATAATAACTGTAAGAAAGTATTATAATTAAAACAAAATAACTTTATTGAGCGATAAAGTTCACACTTTTAAAGTTTAACTTCAGTGGAATAATGAAGTTTTAAAGGGTGCTAAGTTAAAACTGATAGCCTTCATTATTAGTGCTTCCCAGTAACAAAAAAGGGTCACTTTACTCAAACAAAACATGTTAGTATTGGGTTCAGTGTTCTGTGTCTTTGTGAAAAAAATCCCATTTTTTAAGTGGTCAACTTACTGGTTTTTTTTTTGAATCTTGGCATTTATCAATTTGAAGAAAACTTTCAAAAATGATTTTCAGTCTTGATTAATTTTTTTAACATATTTGATAGCCAGTGTTAATGAGGAATGGGCAGATTTCACCAACAATCCCACATACTATTTTAGCACTTACATTTTAGAATTTTAGACTTCTGTTTTCTTTCATGTTGAACCCAAAATATAGTTGTAAGAGTTTCATAAGTGTAGGTACTTTAGGAAATGTAACTTCCCTGAGCCTGTGTTTCCTCATCTGTTTAATGAAGAGATTGAATTAAATGATCCCCAAGATCTTTTCCAGTTCTGGAATTCTGTCATCTAATGAAATGTGTGTGATTAGAAGACATGCCTTTTATTTTATTTACCTGATTAAAAGTTAGGACTTAAGTAACCAGGAGAGAGAAAATAAATAATGAACTTAAATAAACTTAAACTTAAATTTGTTTAATGATGTCCTTTTTGGGAAAATTGGATATCTGTAATAACTCCAATTTCTGACCTTCTGATGGACCAAAAGAAACTCAGGGCCTGGCATTCACTGTGCACCTTTCCCACAAAGTCCTTGAGCTCCTCATCTGTGGGCTTCAGAGGTAAAAAACACTGAACCTGGTAGTCAGTATACCTGAGTTCTAATTATAGAGCTGTCAGCTACTGGTGACTTTGAAGGTCTGCTCATTAGGCAGCTGAAGTCTATATTAAATGGTCTCTAAACTCCTTTCTAGCTCATACTGTTAGGCAGTTGTTACTCTTGTGAGTCCCCTAATGCTTAATTGTCAGCTACCTCTGCAAGTCTTTCCTCAAGCATTGTCATTGCTAGCTGTAGCCCAAATTTCATGATTGCCACCAACAATGCTGATATTCAGCTGACAGCAACAATGCAACCTCAAGAATTGTGGTTATGCTGCAAATGTTCATTCTCCTAATTTCTTCATTCATTTGAAATATGTGCAACTAGGTCTGTTGTAAAGAAAAAAGCTTTTCTGAGTTTGCTAATATTTAGCGTCAATTTGGAGTAGACAGAGCCCCACTTTCTGTGTCCTTTCCAAATGCTTGTGTAGTCCTGACTTGAAGAAACTATGTGGGGAGACCTGTGTTACTACCTGTATAGTTGAAATAGTATTATGCCCCTGGAAGAGAACACAGGGACAGTTTGCCTCGCTCTTTCCTGGTGAATATTCAGATTCTCAGAAAGATATTTTACGTTTGCAAAAGATTTCCAAAAGAAGCTGTTGTGGTCTTAGCTGCCAGAGTGACTGCTGTCTGCCTTCTAAGTGGAAAGCTGTATTTAATGTCACTGTAACCTTGAACCCCACATTCATTAGCTCAGGTAGCACTGCACTTGGACTTGCAGTAGTTTACTTTTGGGATGATTATACTGTAGACAAGTAGCAAGCAGTTCCTTGAACATACTAGGTACCCAATAAATATTTATTGAGTCAATGAGTTTTCATCTATTTAAACCTGCAGCCATTTTAAAGGGATTAAAATAGTACCTTGAGATTTTAGCATAAAGTCTATTCATAAATAACTGGACCATGTGGTGTTTGGAATTCTTTTTTATCTTTTCAACCATTAGTCCATTTCTACAACTAAGGAAAGACAAACTTTAAGAAAAATCATAAAATCATAATTTGCCCTTGACTAAAACCATACATATAGTTTATTCATTTCATACCGTAACTATGTGTAACAGTTCATCAATATGACCAGTTTTGGAAATTAAAATGAGCTGCTCCTGATGTGTGGAGAAATAAATAATTTTTCTTACATTGAACAGAAAATAAATATGACCTATTCATTCAACATCAGTTCATTAAAATATTAGTGATATGCCCCAAGCTCAGTCAACAGTATGCTAGGTTGAAATGCTATAGTGTAATAAATTATTTAATAAATTTATTTCTTAAGATTGAAATTTTAAAATACCTCAGCAATTATTTTTCCAAAAGATGAAATAGAAACACATGAAATAAACTGATGATACAGACTTTATTGTAATGTTAAAAATAAGAGTAATAGCCAAGAAACTTAAGTTTAAAAAATGAATTAGTTGACATTGTCTTATTCTAAGATCAAATCCTTTGGAATGATGGAACATTTCATACCACTCCAACTTTTTTGTTTTTAACGCCTGAACTTTGTAGATATGGCATTCGCCCTGAAAATGTGATTATATATGGCCAAAGTATAGGGACAGTACCGTCTGTGGATCTTGCTGCTCGATATGAGAGTGCTGCTGTTATTCTTCATTCTCCTCTGACCTCGGGAATGCGAGTTGCCTTTCCTGACACCAAGAAGACCTACTGTTTTGATGCATTCCCAAAGTAAGTAGCAGTGTTCAAAATAGTTCAATTCCAAGAAACTTAGGAATTTTTTCATCATTTAAAGTATTCATGACATAGTTCACTCAACCATAAGTTTCTATTTTACATATATTAGCACATATACATTATGAAAAATTAATTTATAAAGAGGGTATTAGCTGGTGACCAGTCAGAAGGCTGAAATGTTTGAGGAGTGGTAATCCAGATGAAAATTGCTGAGGGCCGTACACCTCAGGTGGTGGCACTAGTATTGGAGACAAGGGAATGAGTTTGAAAGATAAATTTGACAGAACTGAGTGTCAGACTTGGACGTAGGATGCTAAAGAGAAAAACTTGAACATGACTACCATGTTTCTGCCCTGAGGTGCTAATGGATGGTGCCATCCAGTGAAACACTTGATGTTAGAGAAGAACAAGTAGAGGTTAAAATGAGTAAATATCTGATTAATGATATCTAATTTACAAAAGTGAATTGAAAAAAGTTGAATCTTAAATTAACTAGATTAGTAAGTATTGCTGCCACAAAACCCGCCAACATACTTAGATGTATTTGAAAGAAAAGTAGCTACTTTTCCTTCATGCTTTTCAAGACAGGAGGTAGTTCCCACCTACTCTTCATAGTTGGAAAAAATTAATGGACTATTTTTCTCAAAGAAGTAGAAGACAAGAAATAAGCTGGCAAATTTTAGTTTTCTTTCCTTTCTCCAATTGGCAACAATACAAAGGATTTTTTTGTGAATGGCCGATGGGCCTAAGGCAAAGTCATCACATGGTTCTTTATAAAGAATAGCAAAGATTATTTTAAAAACACATTATTTTCATCACTAGCCAGTAATGGATCACTTTAGTAGGGAAAGTATGTGAACACATGATCTTATCACAAGGGCAAACTGGGCGTGTTTGGGTTTTTATTTTGTTTTGCGTTTGTTTTTGTTTCAGGTAATGTAGGTATAGGCATTACACTGCCTCTGTCTAGCTGAATGGTAAAAATGATAGGGATGTATCTGAGTATCCCTATATCAGTGTTGTTGCCAACTTGTATCTCTGTCTAGCTCCCTCTTTCATTTCTGGTGCACCAACAGAGAGCAACACTAAAAATAAACTGTTTGGCCAGGCACAGTGGCTCACGCCTGTAATCCCAGCACTTTCAGAGGCCGTGGTGGGTGGATCACTTGAGGCCAGGAGTTCGAGACCAGCCTGGCCAACATGGTGAAACCCTGTCTCCACTAAAATTACAAAAATTAGCCAGGCGTGGTGATGCACGCCTGTAATCCCAGCTACTCAGGAGGCTGAGGCATGAGAATCCCTTGAACCTGGGAGACAGAGATGGCAGTGAACCAAGATGGTGCCACTGCACTTCAACCTGGGTGACAGAGCAAGACCCTGTCTCAAAAAATAAAAATAAACTGTTTGAAAAAGATAATATATTTCTTTTTTTATTCAAGTTTTAATTCCTCTACCGCTGAACCTCTTTCTGACAGCAGATAGTAAACCCAAGTATTTATTCTTACCAAATGCAGCCTTAGATTATTTAATTGATGGTTTTTTCCTTGTCAAAATTCCATTTTCATTTTATGTTATTTATAATATCTTTCTCTAAGGATTCTTAAAAAGAATTGTTTGTCTGTGTAGTTTCTGTCTCCTCCAAGTTGCCAAGTGTTTTTTTTTTTAAAAAGTGTTTGTTTTGATTCCTGTGTTATTTGAAGTGTTCTCCTCTCATGTCTGATAACTTTTGGTTGCCTGCTTATATGTAAGTAAAGGAACTGATCAACTTTTTACTCTTACATATAAGCCGGCAATCAAGATTTAGCAGATCAACTAAAGGGCTGCTCTGATATAATCTCCAAAGAAGGCTCTTTCTAAAAGTCCCTCCTGGAGGACAGTGGCCTGACTACCAGCATTCTGGGAGCCACATAGGGAAAACGGGTTCATAGTAGCCAGTATGTAAATGCATATGTGTCCGTTGTCTCTATGATACCTCTGTTCTAAACTCTGGGAGTCTTCTAGTCCACAGACATTCCAGTCTTGGGGGCAGACAGTTTCCGGGTATATGAACAGGCAAAAGGAACTGGGAAGGGGAGGCTAACTTTCTTACACAGACTTTGAAAAAATCCTGTATATTTCAGTTACCCCCTTCATCACCATGGTAATTCCTTAACTTTCTGGGGTATTCTGTGGTATAAATTGGTTTCGTTCATCACTTTATGGTCTATCTGCCTAAAATTGTGTTTTCTTCTCTCCTTTTGATAAATTATTTCACACATTAATCTTTCCAGCTCCAACATTTTATTATATTTTAGTACATTCTCTTTGTTTTTGTATCTTTATCCTCAAACAAGAACAAAAACATAAAACATTTTGCTATCATTTTAGTAGGAGACTAGGAGAAAGAATATAGTGAGTGCAAAAAGTGAAATTAGCACATACTTGAAATGGTTCTTAAGTTTTCTCCTCTTCTGGACACCTAAGTTTCTCTGTGCCAAAAGTCAACATTGTAGAAAGGTGCAGTAGAGCGACGAGAGCATTGAGTGATTCCAGCAAAACCATCAAAACAAGTGCATGACAATAACTTCCTCAGATAATCTTCAGGTAGGGAGTATGTAAAAGGCAATTTTTGAATCTTACTGGAAATTCAAGAGACGTTCTTACCTTCTGAACTGATTCGTACAATTCTCATATTTGAATTACCTGTCTGATACAGCACAAGAATATTTATGTTCCTTTACATAGTTAATTTGTTGCATTTTTTCCCCCTTCCTTTTTCCCTGCAGCATTGACAAAATCTCTAAGATAACCTCTCCAGTATTAATAATTCATGGGACTGAAGACGAAGTCATTGACTTTTCACATGGCCTCGCGTTGTTTGAACGTTGCCAAAGACCTGTGGAGCCTCTCTGGGTTGAAGGAGCAGGTCACAATGATGTGGAACTGTATGGACAGTATCTTGAAAGGTTGAAACAGTTTGTGTCACAGGAACTGGTAAATTTGTAAAATATTCTGTAAATTTGCTACTGGGTTTTCCTTTCTTGCTGAACTGCACTCTTTGGTAACTAACATAAAACCTGAAGGTTTTGTTTGCAAATCATGTCAGTTGCCTTCATAAATGTACAGGTAATGATTTGTTAACAGACTTAATGAAGGTTTTAATTACCAGAACTAAGAACTGGAAATAACAGTACCATGCAGTCAGGCTGTGTAATTTATATTTTTTCTGTGAATTTTTTTTTAACATCAAGATGAGTACTGTATGAGATTTTAATTCTATAAAATCAAATGCTGTAAAAGTATTGCCAAATGCTTTTGCATACTAGAAACAAATTTATAAATATTTTTAAAACATCTCAATGTACTAAATCTTATCCTGGAATACAACTGTAATATTCTTTTGAAGAAAGCTATGTATCTAAAGCAATTTAAGTACTCATAATAGAATGAACTGTAAAAGAGATTTAAAACCATGCAAGTTCACTAGAATTAACCTAAACCCTGTTGTACAGGGATAGAGGTTTAAAGATATTTTATTGTAAAATACATTGAATTTTCTCTATACTCTGATTACATACATTTATCCTTTAAAAAAGATGTAAATCTTAATTTTTATGCCATCTGTTAATTTACCAATGAGTTACCTTGTAAATGAGAAGTCATGATAGCACTGAATTTTAACTAGTTTTGACTTCTAAGTTTGGTACTGTGAGGCAACTACTTAAAATTTTCATGCTGGTTATTTAAAAGGCATTTAGAGATTTCAAGAATGATTTTGTATGCAATGTTTTAAATTTTGACTGATCTCATAGTCTCATAGAGTTGCAGTAGTCTTCATTGTATGAAATCCTGAAAGTCCATGAGTTGATCTTAAAGACCACAAACAGACTAGCTATCTGATCCCTTTTCACTGGCTATTTTTTTTTTTCATTTTTTGAGACGGAGTCTTGCTCTGTCGCTGAGGCTGGAGTGCAGTGGTGCAATCTTGGCTCACTGCAACCTCTGCCTCCCAGGTTCAAGTGATTCTCCTGCCTCAGCCTCCCGAGTAGCTGGGATTACAGATGCCCGCCACCACGCCTGGCTAATTTTTGTATTTTTAGTAGAGTCAGGGTTTTGCCATGTTGATCAGGCTGGTCTTGAACTCCTGACCTCATGATCTGCCCTCCTCCGCCTCCCAAAGTGTTGGAATTACAGGCATGAGCCACCGCGCCTGGCCCACTTTGGCTATTTTTAAAAATAGGACCTGTTGTTTTGGATTACTATCTGAGAATTTCATGGATTCACTCCTGGGTATAGGAGATAAGAATACATTTAATTCATAACTTTTATATTAACCAATATAGTAAAACAATAAAGCTCACACATACAAAAACTAAGTTGCCTTTCCTTGAATGAACCCTGCCTGAATAAAACAATGAAAGAAAAATAAAAATAAAAATAAAAAATTAATGGTATGTAGTCTAATTTGTAAATGAATGAATATGGAAATAATACACACTGTGGATATATTTTAAGGCCTTATGTAGTTTTAATTGTTCTGCTTGTTCCGTGGTTATGTCTAAGACTATAGTATACGATTCTCTTCAAAGTATATCAAGTATTGTGAATGCTTTGGTTCAGATGTGTCAAATTAACAGTAAAACAACAAATATACCACTGACCTGTGCTTATTTGCCTTTTTCCATGCTCCCCACGCCCACACTAGAAAGCGTGAAAAGAAAAAAAAATTACCCTTCGTTTTTATAGGACATAGTTTGAAAACTTTTAAAATTATATCATCACTTCTTTTGGAGAGGTCTTTCTTTCTCAAGATTGTCTTGTAACCTATACAGTTTATTCTTTGTACCTCCTACAACCCAGGGCTTAGCTAAATGTTTTATTTGATTACCTAGGGAAATCTAAATATTGATTCTATTTATTCAGTGTTCGTTCATTCAACGATAGTTATTGAATGTATAAATCATGCAAAACCCTGTGCTAGGTAAAGACAGACTGTGTCCTCATAGATTTCATGGTCTAGCTAAGGAGACAGGCACCTTATTGCCCAAATATTACTATTTTAATAAGGACTGAAGGAGATTTGTAAGGTATTGTAACAGGTAAAAGGTACTTTTGGGAGGGGAACATGGGGAGCAGGACAAGGAAGAGTCCCCCAGAGAAGTGGTATTTCAGCTAAGTTTTGACGGATAACTAAGAATTGGGTAGACCTGGGTGACCCAGGAGAAGCATTCCTGGCTGAGGGGGATGAATAATATATGGAAGCCTAGAGGAAGGAAGGTGCAGTTAAATATGAGAACTGGGCTGGGCTCGGTAGCTCACACCTGTAATCCCAGCACTTTGGGAGACTGAGGCAGGTGGATCACGAGGTCAGGAAATCGAGACCATTCTGGCTAACACGGTGAAACCCTGTCTCTACTAAAAACACAAAAAATTAGCGGGGCGTGGTGGCATGCGCCTGTAGTCCCAGCTACTCGAGAGGCTGAGGCAAGAGAATCACTTGAACCCTGGAGGTGGAGGTTGCAGTGAGCCGAGATCACACCACTGCACTCCAGCCTGGGCAACAGAGCAAGACTCCGTCTCAAAAAAAAAAAAAAGTTTGGCCTAGGAATGAGGCTACTAATTAGGAACACAATTACAGATGGCATCGTGAACCCTACCTAGTCTTTATCCTAGAAACAAACAGGAAGCCATTGATAGAAAAGGAAACAGCACTTGTCATGAGTATAGGTGAAAAAATCTGGAGATTTTTGCTTGCTGGAAATAACATATAAGTCAGTTTTGTAGAAACTGATCTAATTTTAGAGTGGTGAAAAATACATCATGGGAAAATGATACACAAAGTGCTGTTCAAACCACGTTTGCATTACTAATGTTATTCCAGGATGCAGTGAAAGGATATTTGCAAATTAGAGCAAATCCTGAGGTATTTGCCAAGTTGGAAAAGGTACCATAAACTGAAACTCCCAAACCAGCTGAAAGATGTGACTAAGGCGTAATAGCTGCCTTCAAATATTTGAGAGGCATGTACAATGTATTCTATCTGGCTCTCAGAGCAGAACTGGGTGAAAATTACAAAATACCAGATTCGAACTCAGTATGAGAAATAACTTTATGGTTATTTGTCCGTAAAGGAAAGGGATTGCTTCCTAAGCATTAATGACTGTCTTATCACTAGAGACAGAGCAGAAGTTGAATGACATCTGTCATAGGTGTCACAGAAGAAATGCCAGATTTAAATGAAAAGTTGTACTAGATGTACTGTGTGTAAGGTTGTTTGAGACTTTGTATTCCATTTTGATTTCTCCTACTTACTCGTCAGAGCTTACCTTATGGTTTTGAGAAGACAGTATGATGTAGAACAATTAAACTGGCAGTCAGATCTGGGCCCCTTGTCAGCTAACAGTGATTAGATCTGCAACATTGGGCAAGTTACTTCTGGACCTCAGTTTTCTCACTAGAAATAAAGAAATGGAACTAATTGAATAATAATATCCCTTACATTTCTAATGTAATGTGAAAATTTCAGCCCTACTCACACGTAATGGCTCATATCAGTTTTTAGCCTTAACTAGAGTGGTGCCAGTTAGCTTGTTTTGATATTTGGCTTTTGTGCATACTAACATAGTGCAATTTGGATAATAACACAAATCCTTGGTACATAGCTCCTGCCATATCCTCCAGGTACAAAAAAGAATGGTAGATAAGAACTTTCATGAACTAGTTTATCATCTTCACACTTTTCCAGGTTTCTTTACACAAATTTACCAGTTCTATATCCTACATGAATATATATCATAGATTTTTTTCTTTGTGATTTCTATAAATATATAGGTAGTGTTCATTTTAAGAGAGCTTCATAAGTGAAAATGAATTTTAAGTAGGGCGAGGTAGCTCAAGCCTGTAATCCCAGCTACTTAAGAGGTTGAGGTGGGAGAACCACTTGAGTCGAAGACTAGAAGGCTGCAGTGAGCTGATAGTGCCACTGCACTCCAACCTGACCAATGGAATGAGACCCTGTCTCTGCAAAAATAATTATAAAATGAATTTTAGAAATTGTAGACTGACAGCAATTGTCATGTAAATAGTGGTATTCTTGCATTTAGACATATATGACAAAACTTTAAGAGTGATTTTTCATAAAGTTATGGAAAGCCACATAAACTCATAGATTATAAAAACTTCAGAGGTGATATAGCCTAATCCCTTTATTTTACAGGTGCAGAAACATAAAGAAGGGAAGTGATTTTCTCAAGGTCTACAATTGTCAACGACGGTACTATGTATTCCATTATCTTCTCTTTACCAAACTTATCTGGATTAATATACCAATGAGCCTTTCAAATTCTGTGGCGTAAACTTATTTGCTCTCCAATGTTAGTCACAGTTTTTTTTAATGGGTAGAGCCCTCCTTGTCAACTATTCATTGAATAGTAAATTGGTAGATTGTGCCAATTAATTCTCATGTTAATGATTATTTAAAGAATTTAATACTAATTCATTTTACTAGGCACAGTTACAGTTATTTAGTTATGCTGAAACCTAGTGAGGATGGTAGCCACAGACACATGAATAAACAAGTATTTACTTCAGGAGCTGATTTACTACAAATTGTAACACGCAGAATAAGCAATTACATTGAAAAAAGTATCAATATAGTTATTACGAATTAACTTTTATCTTGTTGCTTTGTTTTAAAATAGGCTATTTATTCAAACATGATAGCATGTTGCATTCTGATAATGTGCACCCCAAATGCCCAGTAACCAAAAAAAACAGTTTATGCTTACGATACTTGGAACGAGGCTTTCAGTTTTAACTTGCAGAATGGAAAAGACATTTGTCTATCGTATCTCTAAATGGATTATGCCTCTGACTGAACAGTTGAATGAGTAATGCTAAGGAAGGAAACAAACACCTCTATGCTGGAAATGACCCACTTGACATTAGAGTTGTGTGTTTTTCTTTCTTTCTTTTTTCTAGGGAAAGTACAAAGGTCTTTGCAAATGTCAGTGAACTGAAAGCTGTTAAACTGGCTTTTTCATGTGAAGTCAGATGGACATGAAACTATTTTACTCCCTCTATTTCCTTGTGTAGGCCATGTACTAAATTTGCATAATATAATTATGACACTTTTAGAAAAAAGTTTTAATAGTGTGTTTTTTAAAATGACATTGTTATATTAGAAAAATGGGGAAATGCTATTTTTAGATAATTTTTGTTTATCTCCTAATAAAATGCAAGTTTCAGCCACTGTACTACTTGATTAATTCAAAATTTGGACTTCTTTTTCCTCTAAAACAACTACTTAAGGCAGTGTATTGAATTAAAGTAGATTCAGTCTTCTGGTTTTTGAAGAAGAAAAGAAGTAGAGAGGGTAGCAGGTAGGTTTACGAATATAGGTACACTATGTATTGTGAATTCATAGGCTATAAATCAAAACTTATAATTAGCATTCTCATGAATCTTAGATGAAACTTGTGTTTCTATTTGAACACCTAATAACTTTGGTAAAGTCAGAGGCCATCTATATCACTTCACCAAAGTGAGAATTTGCTACTTTTTGAGCTCTTTTAAGTCTGGGCTCCAAGCCTTCAAGGCCCATCCCTGGGAAATAGAATGGGCAGAAGGGAAGGAGACAAAAGAAAATAGTTCATATATCCCTAAATATATCTGGTGCTGTCAAAAATGATAATTAAACTTGCTAAAGTATTCAGTGTAATCCTAAATGAAAAAGAGAGTATAAATGATTACACCTCTGTAAAATAAAATGTGAGTGTCTATGGAATAAAAGCCAAAGGAAATAAATACAATGAAACAAATGATTGTGTTGAGGCAATAGGATTATGGGTGAGTTTTTTTCCTTGACCTACTTAAAAAGGTATCTTTTATGTCGGTGTGTTATTTTTTATGATAAAAAAGAAGGGGGGAAACCTACTTCTTCACTGTCTCCTGGTTTTCACTGTCAGAAACTGGCTTCTGGACTTCCAAAATCATAAGACCCCAGAACAGATACAGGAGAAGTAATTCTCAAATGTGTTTTCAGCCTGGCTACCAGAGCAGCAAATAAAAGTAGCTGGAGGAGGAGATGATTCCTTTATTTGAGTGAACAATATTGAATTTTGTGTTTTGTTTTGGCAGGGAATGTAATGAATAGGATAATAATATCTGAAATCCTCACTGAGTGCCAGGTCTAAAGTACTTTTTAGGCAATGCCTACATAATATATCAACGTTAAAAACTCTATAATGCATTGTTATAGTTACTACTTTACCATCTGTAGTCATTTCCTTAGCCCATTACAGCTTTGTTTTTACTTACTTCCTATGTGCTATTGGCAAAAATATAGAGGGAGTAAAATACATTACATTTCTATATGTTATAGGCCCAACAATCCATTATATACATATTATTTGAAATTGCTTTTTAAAATCAATTAAGGAGGAAAAATATGCATTTATCATTATGTAATTATCAATGTTGTTTGTTCCTGTAGATTCATGTTTCTGTAGGGTCACTTGATTTCAGCCTGAAGAACTTCATTTAGTATTGTAAAATGAGTCTGCTAACAAATTCTCTCAGTTTTGCTTATCTGGGAAAGGATTTATTTCATCTTCGTTTTTGAAAGATAGCTTTAGTCTATATAAGATTCTTGGTTGCCTACTTTTTTCTTTGAGCATATGGAATATGTTTTCCTATTGCCTTCTGGCTTCCATGGTTTCTGATGAGAAGTAAGGTGTTAATCTTAAATCTTATCGAAGTACCTTTGTAAGTGATGCATTGTTTTTCTCTTGCTGATTAAAACTTCTCCTTTGACTTTCAGCATTTATACTATAAAGTATCTGTTTGTAGGCATCTTTGCTTTTTTTCCCCAGAGCATTCGTTAAGCTTCTTGGATGTATAAGTTATAGCTTTCTAATAAAATTGGAAACTTTTCTGCCATTATTTCTCCAAATGTTTTTTTTCTCTCCTGGTACTCAGCACAAGGGCTACAGGATTACAGCTGCTCTTATGTTAATGGACCTTGGGCTGCTTTGCTTTTTTAGATTCTCACATTTGTTCTCTGCTTTCCTCTGTTGTTCTTTCATACTGTCAGCTGTTGCTACTTGCTACTGTGAGTTTGTTTCTTTTGTTCCAACTTGCTTTTTGTGTATTTCCACTCAGATGATCTAGGAAACTAGATAATTAAACTTATTACATTATGTCTAAATTAAGAGCAAAATAGCTCCACTGAAATCTCTGAAAGGCTGTGCTGTGAGCAATAGCCAGATAGTCAAGACTAAAGTTGCCCCTACCCTGAATAAGAAGTAGTTACGCCACGTGCGGTGGCTCACACCTGTAATCCTAGCACTTTGGGAGGCTGAGGCAGGCGGATTACTTGAGGTCAGGAGTTTGAGACCAGCCTGGCTAACATGGTGAAACCCCATCTCTACTAAAAATACAAAAACTAATCAGGTGTGGTGGCATGGCTCTGTAATCCCAGCTGTTTGGGAGGCTGAGGTATGAGAATCGCTTGAACCCGGGAGGTGGAGATTGCAGTGAGGCAAGATTGCGTCACCGCACTCCAGCTAGGGTGACAGAGCGAGACTCCATCTCAAAAAAATAAATAAATAAATGAATAAGTAGTAGTTACTAGCTGCCCAGTTGATTTGGTTCTGTCCAGTGGGTAAGGATACTGGGCTGCTTGCTAGGAGTCTGCTCTTCTTGTGAATGTTACTGCTATTATCTTTTATATTTCTTTTTAAGAAGTCATGAATTTTCAAGAACCAGAGCAATATATCATCCCCAAGTTTTGCCAGTGTTGAGTCAATGGTTTCTAAATGACTCATCAGCAATGTGAAAAACTGAGGGGTAATATATGAAGTGGTAGAATGCATCAGTCAGCCTTGAGCTTAGTGTAGTTTGATAACCATCACTGACTGAGATGATGAATATGGAAGCATTCCCTTTGAAAACAAAGACAAAAAGTTGAGCAGTTGCAAACACTGGGGAAATACAGAGTAGAACTTAGAGTGACTTTGAAAATGAAGGAATGGGTTAATCAACAGAAACAGAACAGGAGGAAACATGCAATAGTTTAGGTCTAATAAATCCTTCCAAACAAATACGTAATTAGAAGAAAGGCAAGGTAGATATAAATGTCACCCAAACACCCAGTTAAGGAACATTTCAAGTCATGAGATACTCTGAGCATAACATTAGAAAAATAAATAAATAAAGATTCTGGGTTAATTGTTAATTTGAATATGAATAAATAGTGTGGAACAGTTGTTTGAAATGCTGGAAACAGGCTATATTGGTGGGAGTATGACTAGGGTGTCTTTAGCACTATTTAAGCCCTTATTTTGGTCACATTTGGACTTAGCACTCTTGTGCCTTAGAGAAGCCAGGGTCTGCCGGAGAGAAAAAGGCAAATAATAATAATGATTAAAAGAATATAAAAGAATGTAAGGAAAGCCTAACAACAACCGTTTGCACTAGTCATTTGGATCTCTCCCAGGGTTTCCCCTCGAAGCCTCACTCCAGTACTTGGAGTGAGACATGAGAGATATTACTGTGTACTGTCCCTTTTAATCCTCTCAGTTCTAGGTAGTTCTCTCAACAAAGTGCCATGCAGAGTATTGTAAAGGAAGAAGATCCCCAGAAACAAAGGCCCTTTGCATTATAGATCTGCCTTCCAAGAAGCTATCTGCTATCTTATCTGTTAGACTGGGCATCTCTGAAGGGCAGAGAATACGTCTTTCATTTTTATCTTTGCACCCTTCCCTTCCTTGGTAACTGAAAGCTTCCCAACAATTGAATTAATATGAAGAAAGAACATGTTCCAAAAAAATGAGACTTTTCCTGTTTGTTGCCTTATTTGAAAGCTTTAAGTCAATAGGATAGCCTCATAATTCAAAGCTGTGACTTTATGTTTTTCTCAAATATCTTTATTACATTAGAGAAGAAACTAGTAAAATTAATAGTACAAGGGGGATATTAAGGGTAGCTTTTGAAATGTTAGACATTAATCCCTGAGCCACAGTTTCATCACCAGTTAAAGGTAGATAATTATCCTTTCTGTTGACCTTAGAGGTTTACTATGAAGATTAAATAATAATCCTAAGTGGGAATACTTAGTGCCCTAAAGAAATTTTTTTTAAAAATAAGGAATTGTAGGCCGGGCGCGGTGGCTCAAGCCTGTAATCCCAGCACTTTGGGAGGCCGAGACGGGTGGATCACGAGGTCAGGAGATCGAGACCATCC